TGTGGGATGCTAGCACTGCTGAAGAAATTCGGCGAGCGTTGGCCTTTGAACGATCCCTCCAAGACATCACGAGAGCGCCACTTCTCGTATCTCATCATTCCTCTCGTTGAGAAGATGATCGAAGATTCAAATCCCACATCAGAGCAAGCGAAAAGAGCTAATACTCTAAGCCCTGCTTCAAGAGATGAGATGCGATTCGTGTTGGAACGCTCGCCAGTTGTGCTTGCTGAGCTGATTGCGGGAAATAAGACTCTTCAAACAGCGGCCGTTCACAATCGAACCCTACCGACCCTCATTCAAATCCTCAAGAAGTCGTTCGATGTGCCGGCTACGTCTTCAAAACCTCTCTGGCAACCACGGTCGTCATCTCACGAAGTGAAAGACCCAGATATTGACCCAGCATCTTCCACGCTGGGCAGACCTGGACTAAGCGCCGATGTATTACACGCGTTCAGGTATCGAGAGAGTGTGTTACTGGCTCTGGCGGCAATAGCAGGAGACCAAGATGCGTTGAGAAAGATGGTTATTGAGATGGGCGCTGCCACGCACATCATCGAAGCCTTGGTTTCCTACCGCGAAAGCAACGAGCAAGGCGCGTCCTCTTCAGCGAAAGACGGCAATCCAGATTCGGTACTCATTGCTGCTTGTAAAGTCATACGGTCGCTTTCCAGGTCTGTCAGTGTGCTGAGGACCAGCTTGATCGATCACGGAGTTGCACAGCCGATCTTCGAGCTCTTAACGCATCCGAACGTCAAAGTGCAGATTGCTGCTACGGAGGTCATCACCAACTTGGTGCTCGATGTGTCACCTATGCGAACTGTAAGTACGATGCTCATTGTGCCCTTTTTCATGCTAATGTATTTACTAGGAGATCGTCGAGTCTGGAGTACTGGGAACACTCTGCGAACAATGTAGATCAGCAAACTTCGACCTTCGTTTCGGTAGCCTTTGGGCGCTCAAGCACTTGTGCCTAGGCTTACCACATGCCATGAAGATACAATGTCTTGAGGAGCTCGGTGTTGGCTGGCTCGTACAAGTACTCAATGGAGAGCCATCCAAGCCAGCTATGGGTACACCCAACGCAGCAGGAGAGCAAGTTGATATTCTCAATGCGGTTGACGAGCCCCATATGGATGTGGACGAAGAGCCGTCATCCGAAGAGGATGATGACGCCATGACCGAAAGTATACCGTCTATGCGACGGCATCAACGTCCTGGTTCACGGTACACAAGTGCAACTAATATCCGAGATCGATTACAACAGATCAAAAACGACGAGCAGGACAACCGGCTCAACGGTGAGCGCGACGATATCCGTATACAAGAGCAAGCGTTGGACTTCATCCGGAACTTTGTTTCAGAAGACAAAGCTTCCGGTGAGATGATTGACCACCTGCTCAAGACCTTTGGCCACAGTCGGTTCTTCGAAATTCTCGATGCTAAGATCCGGCCAAAGACGATGTCACAAGCTCAGCCCAGTGCTACAGCCCCAAGCTACTGGCCAAGTACCAGCCACCGCACGCCTTTTTCTTCTTCCACGAACACCCCAGCGCAGCCAAACTGGGCCACCTATCCTGCCCCCGAACTCATTCTGGCTGCAGTGTATATTCTCGTGCATCTCGCCAATGGTCGGCCTCAGCATCGCTCTCTTCTCATCTCGCAGACCACTCTCATGCAGCATGTTCTTCAGCTTTTCACCCACCCTCGTCGCGACATCCGCGTCGCATTGTCCTGGATGCTGCACAATCTCGTATGGATAGAAGATCATACCGATGAAGCCGCTACGCGTGAACGTGCTATTGCCCTTCGCCAACTGGGCTTCGAGGAAGGCGCTAAGCAGCTGGGTCGCGATGCGGACAATGATGTACAGCAACGTGCAATCGTAAGTATTGAGCAGTTCGACAAGCTACTCAACGGTGGTAGTGGTAATCGTCGGAGCGGTGGCTTTGGTAGCCCTGGTGGTTTCGGTGGTGGAGACAGCGGTGGTGGCCTTATGAGTGGGCGTTTGAGCGGCGGGATGCATGGCTGGAGACATGATAGGGGTTAGTCCTGGGAGAAGTCAAGTGTACCTCATACACTTATATTGACGAGACCCTCTAAAATGATCAATTATCTTGCCGATCACATGTCCTCTCCTGAATCTCCTGTTGCCTGTGACCTTCGGTGTGCACCAAACTCCGAGCCCGCGCTAGTGTACTGTAATATCCCGACTTCGCGTCATCATCGCGGAATGCTTTCCGAAACGCCCATACAATTTCCACAGCGCCCCCAAGAATCTCGCACGCCAACTTCGCAACATGTCCTTCACCCGCATCTCCCGGGCTGCCATACCACGCGCCTTTCGCTCCTTTTCCACGACCCGGACGCGCTTCCAGACCGCGATACCGTACACGCAATCATGTCCGTCACCGAGTTGCGAGTGCGCGGCAACGCCGCCCGATCTAGACATTGATCGCAAGACACCACTGTTGAATACTATGGCGGCGTACTCTGAACAGGTCATATTCTGTACCGGGAAGGAAGACTGGGTCAGCAACATCGAGCAGGAGGAGGGCGAGATCGGGGAGTTTGTAAAAGGGCTTAAAGGTGTGATTGGAAAAGGCGGTCCTGCGTTTGATGTAGGTCTGTTTCCCAGTGTAGTCATTCATGATACATAGAAAGCTGACGCGTTTCCGCATCATATAGCCATTCACGAACGTTCTCATCACTGCTTCCTCATTACCGAAAAGTGAAAAGGCAGGCGCGACAACGGCATTGCTATTCCCAAGCTTTAAACGCATACCGGATATCCCACATGCCCCCGAAGCCTTCTCCAACTTCGCGACCGCATACCTAAAGGCTCAGAATCTCCATTCGATGCACGATGGCCTCTCCGCCGAGCAAAAGTCTCATCTCCTTCGCGACGAGTCGAAAGCGACCGAACTACCAGAGGCGGAAAGCATTACGAAACCCACGATCCTGATATGCGGGCACGGCGGCCGTGATGAGCGCTGCGGCATTCTCGGGCCATTGCTACAATCCTCGTTTCGCTCTGAATTTCAGCGGAGGGGTATAGACGCAGATGTAGGGCTGATCAGTCATATCGGTGGGCACAAGTATGCGGGCAACGTCATCATGTACCTACCTCCCAATATGGAGGGTAATGCATTGAAGGGCTCGGGTATCTGGTATGGGCGCATAGGACCTGAGAATGTTGAGGGTGTGGTTGAAGAGACAGTGGTTAGAGGACGCGTCATTACGGAGTTGCTGAGAGGTGGTGTGATGCAGGGTGGAGGGAATATTGGGAGACTGATTGAGGCACAGTTGAGGAAGGATAGTGGGGAAGAGGATAGTGGAACGTTGAGATTGAAGGCTAGGGCGAGAGGTTGAGGGTAGACTCAAGAATGTCAAAGCGAGTCTCAAACTGGTTTGAATGTCGTCAGCCTACTCAAAATATCTTACTCCACATCAATTACCGGGGGAGTGAAGGTGTCATGAACATTCCCTCCTGGGACGGCGCTGCGAGCGTGCCCACCAATCTATTGGGGGCACCATTGGAGGTTCGAGAGACGCCCGAATACAAAGCCCAGCTTCGTTCCACACTCTTGGACATCGAATCCAAGCATCGGCCTCAGTGTAAACAGACAGTTTCCAGACATCCGTGTATGTTTTGCAGCTCGAAGGCTACCGATTTGCTTTTCAGGTCGGAGTGCCTGCTACATCTCGATGCTCCGCAAATCAGGATAAACGTCTATGCCACTTGCGGAAGCCGGTCCTGTAAGACAAAAGTGATCGCAGCACATGAAGCGATGATCGAAATGACCACAGCTCATCTCCAAAGCCAAATATCTAATGGCACTCCCTGCCACTGCGTGCGGAAGGATGGAGCAATGAGATGTGCCAGATGTAGGGTGACGAGATATTGCAGTAGAGAGCATCAAAAGGCTGATTGGAAGAAACATAAGCGTATTTGCGAAGACCTGAAGTTCGCGAAAGAGTACTTGGAGGAAACCTGCCAGGCTTGGAAGCTCCTTGACGAGGAAGAAAACGGAACATCAAGCACCTCGACGTCTACCCCCAACACGGCTCCAGCGCAGCAAAAGAACAAGAAAACTGAATCGAGTAAGGGAAAACAGCAATTTGGGCCCAGTCAGCCAAGTAGCAGCGCCTCGTCGAGCAAGCAGAGCCAGGGAAAAGACAAAGCAAAGAGCACAGCGCAACCCAAACCAGGAATGCGCACCGTACGTATGCACTGCACGCCTCTAAGCTTCCAAGAAGTGAAGCCCTGGGACTTTTACTGCGAGATCCCCGCATCTCTCATTATTCCCCCAGAGATGCACTCGAGCCCACCCCCAACATACGAACGCGAGTTCGGAGAAGCCATGCCTCCAATCATCGCAGAACACCAGAACGAGTTCAACACAAGGAGTGGTCCAAAATGCTTAGTCTGCAAAGAAGCCCCGACAAGATACGGAAAGACTTTCTGCGTCTCCCAACTCCACACGCCGGAACCGTTTGTTGTCATTGGCATCGTGCCAACTTGTGGTACAAAGAAATGTGTAGAGGGGGCTAGCGAACTTATGAAAGTCTTCAGAGCGGATCAAATGAAGTATGACGTAGAGCACGCCTGCAAGGTGTGTGGCAAATTCGAGGGGTCAAGGCCATGTTCAAAGTGTGGGATTAGGTGGGCGATGTATTGCAGTGCTGAGCATGAGGAGCGGGACTGGCCGAATCACAAGATTTTTTGTAAGGGCCCCAGTATGGCGCGTAGCTGCGAGGTGTGTGGCAAGTCCGAGGGGTTAAAGCCATGTTCGCAGTGTAAGTCGTCAAGGTACTGTAGCGTTGAGCATCAGAAGCGGGACTGGCCGATTCACAAGGGTATCTGTAAGGCCTTGAGAAGTATTCATGATCTTGCGAAGGAGACAGGAGATTTGGGCTTGGAATGAGGAACGTTCATATTGTCAGCACGTTCAGAGAGCAAAAATCAGCAACTATGTGTCTACCGTCCCGGTCCCCAATGCTCAAGCAGATCTGAAGTGGGTACCGATGTTGAATCTGCCAGCCTCCTCGTACGCCGATCCAACTGCCGCTCCCTCACCCTCTGTCTGCTCCAGGGCCTGCTGTACCGCCTCCGCCAGGCCACCCGCGAACATCTGTGTAGCCGCTACCTCCTTGTGGTAGGTGCGCGTACGCCTGGTCTGCGGTGTTTGTAGCCAGCCAGGCCATCGCAGTCCTGCAGTCTCCGCTCGTTGCTGGCCCCATGTCGCCTTCTCGCTGTCGTCTAGCCTCCACGGCTGCGACCAGCAAGCCCATGGCGACTTCGTGTCTATCGATACTGTGGCCGCTCAGTTTGCGGACCTCATCGGCGAAACATGCAGGCCAATTTGCAGGAAACACCAAATTGCCTTCATCATCGCGAGGAGCGATCTTCTCAGGCAGAATTTCACTGCCTTCAGACAGCTTCCAGTGCCCGCAGATGGCCTCGAGATGCCTCTGCACCTTTTTGTAGGCGCCGGAGGCCGATACGCCGGGACCTTGCTGACGGCCCTTAAGGGTCGTTTCGATGCGGTATGCGATGTTGGGGTGAAGGTGTTTATAGTCCAGGCGGACTTTCTGCTTGGCGGTCGGGTGCCACACAATGATGTTGAAGAGTGGACCAATCTTGCCCACGAGAGCTCCGCGAAGCGCAGCATAGATGTCGTCGCCCTCTTTCATGGTGGGGCGGATGGTGGCGTAGTAGACCCCCATGGGGAGGCGCATGGTGATGGTCTTGCTGGTGCCAGCGGAAGGGGGATACTGGTACTCCATCGTTATGATGATGATTTGTGATGTAGTAGAGTATTGAGGTGTTAGTGGTAGCAGAGAGAAAATTGTAGGCTGCAAGGATTTTCATGGAATTGGTGAGCGTCCAGATTTGTCAATCCGGCTTCACCTTCACTTTTCACCTTCACTTCCACTTCACATGACACCCACACCTTTCGTGGGCAAAAAGATACTAGCTACCTTGATTAAAAGGTAGTCACAAGCTGATTTCGAACAAACGGCAAAAATATAACAATACTTCGGAAGGATGTTATGGCTTGTTTCAAGACGTAAAGACGCGTATCACTCCACTCGAACCTGCAGGTCTTTGCTATATGAGAATTAGCAGAATTAATTGCAATCTATATGACAGCCATTAGATCTCGATATATCCAAATTTGCCCGTTTGTCAATACATAGCCTAGGGGTATCCGCTGATGTGTTTGTTGGTACATGACCCAGGGGCGCGACTATAATGCTCCAAGCGCAAGTGATAGCCAAAACATATAATTGTCACGTATTGGAATAGTGCAATGGCATAATTTGATCGGCAGATGTCTTCTATTAATCTATCGAGACATAAATCGCTATTCATACTATGCGGCACGATCATTTCGCTGGGTATATTGACCCTTCAATTTGACATCCATCACCATGCCTCTAAGGCATTGGTCATACTTCCTACAAAGTGCTCTCGAGCGCCAGCACCTGTTGATTGGTTAGCACGTGTCACAGATTCATGAAGAGGCTCACTTACGATAGCAGTCCTGCTAGGAATGTACACCTGCAGGAAATTCTTCCTCTCGTTCCAGGCAAATGGTGTGGTGAAGAACCTAGTCGTCTCGTCCACATTGCCATGGCCACCGAACGCCTTGCTGTCGGTACTCAGGACGATACGGTAAGTACCTTCCTGCTCAACGCCAACACGGTAGTCGGTGAAGCTCTCCTGGGGATGGAAGTTGAAGATCCACAAAAGTCCAGCGCGCTCAAATACAATGACCTTGTCACCCTCGTGCTTGAGGCTGACATAGGCCTGAGGCGAGTGAAGCCATCCGTACTTCTCCTCTGTCCACTGCATCTTGCTGTCGAACTCGTTGAGGAACCGGTAGCGGAGGAGCTCGTCATCTGGGAGGTTGAATTGGCGGCGGGCGTAGTGGAAGCTGTTGTTGTTGCCTTCGCGAGGGAAGTCGAGCCACTCAGGGTGACCGAACTCGTTACCCTCAAAGTTCAAATAACCCTCACCTCCCAAACCGTGTGTGATCAGTCGGATCAGCTTGTGCAGCGACAAACCGCGGTTGATGACTGGGGTGAGCTCCGAAAGGACCGACATGTTGGTGTACATTTGCGCGTCGCAAAGCCAGAAGAGCAGAGTCTTGTCGCCAACCAGCCTAGAATATGTCAGTATTGATTGTCAAACCCGGGGTATTAACATACGCTTGATCGTGACTCTCCGCGTAGGCAATGGTCTTTTCGCCGTGCCTTCGGTTTGTCAAGGTGAAGACGAGTGCGCCCATGTCCCAGTCAATGTCCTGCTTCTCCTTCAACCACTTGATGTAGAGGTCGGGTACAGCCATGGCTAATCGGTAGTCGAATCCTATTCCGCCTAACGAAAGCGACACGCAAAGACCAGGCATACCGGAAACGTCTTCGGCAATTGTGATGGAGTCGGGGTAGAGTGTGTGCAGTAACTCGTTGGCAATCATGAGGTACACAACTGCCTCCTCATCGACCGAAGGACCGAAGTATTCGTGGTAACCGCCCGAGAAGCCCCTGGGAGTGTTAGTCTTTGCTAGCATTGAAAGTGAATGAATACTCACGTTCCGATGCCGTGGTGGGTGTACAGCATGCTTGTAACTCCGTCGAATCGGAAACCGTCGAAGTGGTACTCCTCCATCCAGAAGCGCAAGTTACTGAGCAAGAAGCGCATGACCTCGTGGTGACCGTAGTTGAACAGCCGGCTGTCCCACAGCTCGTGTCGTCCCTTGGCGCCCTCGTGGAAGTAGAGGTGGTCACTGCCGTCGAACATGTTGAGACCGTCAAGCACGTTCTTAGATGCGTGACTGTGCACCATGTCCAGCAAGACGGTAATGCCCATTCCGTGCGCAGTATCAATGAGCTCCTTCAGGTCGTCTGGGAAGCCGTAGCGGCTGCTCGCAGCGAAGAAGCTGTTGATCTGGTATCCGAAACTGGCGTAGTACGCATGCTCCATGACGGCCATTAATTGTATAGTGTTGTATCCCAGGTGCTTGATGCGAGGGAGGATGTCACGGGTGAACTCCTTGTAGGTCGCTACCTTGGGCTCGGGGGAGGAGATACCAACGTGGGCTTCGTAGATACGTGCGCTCTGGGGCTTGGGCGGCCGCTGGTTCTTCCAGACGTACTTCTGGGGAGGGTTCCAGAAGCGGGCATCGTATACGGGGGAGACGTTGAGGTCTTGGGTCACTCGGGTGATCCAGGCGGGGAGGCGCTCCTGGCGCGCATGGTCGTTGGGGACGACGAAAGAGACCTTGATCTTGGAGTCGTGGGGGATGGTGGGCTGACCGTTCTGGCCAGGGATCGTCACCTCGAAGACGCCGAAATCGTTCTTGGTCATGGGCGTCGCATCGCGGTCCCAGCCATTGAAGTCACCAATGAGGTAGGCGCGCAGGGCATTCGGGGCCCATTCGCGGTAGACGACGTCGCCGTTGGACTGGACATTGAAGCCGAACTTCTCATAACCCTGGGCGCTGTTAGCTACACCGCTCTTGCCAAGGCGGTTGGGATGCTTGCCCGCGAGAACTTCTCGAGACCGCCCTCAGTCTCTTCAATCGTCTTGATCCACTTCTGGGCCTTGGAGAAGCGGCTCTTCAGCGCGTCCTTGAAGGGCTCAAGGTAGCCATCCATCTGGATGATGCCTGGGCGAATTGGTCAGTCAATTGATAAGATAATTTGGGCATCAATATTTACCAGTGCCATCGTTGGGGACCTGCCCCGGGGCGTCGCTCAGGGCCGAGTTTGCGGAAGCCTTGTTGAGCTCCATGGTGTGGGATGGTAGGTGGGAGGAGCTGTGAGGTTTGCTACCAGAGTATATGGCAGCGGGAGGATGCAGGTCTCACAGCGACAGGCCGCCAGATGAATTGCAGAGACGATCACGAATTTGCGGGGTCTCTAACCCGATTGCTGAGGGCAGCGCTCAACCAAAAGTTGTTGCCAACCCAACAATCAACGTCATAGCTCAGAGCACGCTGTAACGGGCATCGCGCCCGCGCCACGTCCCAACAGCGTATCTCTGCTGGGGTGCTGTCGGAAGGATTTGCGCTACAATTCATTCGGAGCCAGGAACCGGCATCCACATCTAGAATGCCATTGAAGCGGACCCTGAGGCGCTTTGCCGACTACATGGTGTTGTAGACTACCTGATAGTAGCACGCTGGTCACGCGTCGGCGGCAAAGGCCCTTATCGGCATCGGGAACCGTGGGGACAGAGCTTCCCCCGCATCTCTGGCCTAACGTGGGGAGCTCACGGCGGCTCAACCACGGTTACTTCCAAGCCTCGAGCGCAGCCGGCGCCATCGCGACTTTGTATTAAAGTCCCCGTGATGCCCTCGATGCCTTTGCGTTTGTAGTGTGATTCCCCCTGCGCTTCCTCTCCCACGATGCTGCTGTCCAAGACGATCCGGAGGGCGCTTCCCGCTGCCGTCTCGCCCCAGGCCCGCGCGTCCTACCTCGCCCTCTATAGCATCTCGCGCCGCGCGCCCTTGTCCCAGTCGCACACGCGCAAGTCGTCTAGATTCAATCGTTCCGACTTCAGCGGCCAGGGCTTCTCGTCTTTCTATGAGCCTGACCAGCCCACGCGCGGTCCACTGGGCAACACCAGCAATGTGGGCGCAGGCCACATCACGCCCAAAGTGCTGAGGCAGCACCTCGACCAATTCGTCGTCGATCAGGATCGCGCAAAGATAGTCTTGAGCGTGGCTGTCCACGAGCACCATCTCCGCATCCAAGAGATCAAGAGACAGCACCATGAGCAGGCGAGACTCGAGGCGCAGGCGCAGAGGCGAGCATCCGTGTACAGACATCCTGTAGAAGGTAGCCCCAATTCTCATATTGATCCAATCATCGACGATTTCAACCGTCATCCTCTTATGATGCGGGCGCTGAGCAGCAGAGCAGACGAGTTCCCCGGCCAGCAGTCCACCGTGGAACTGCACAGTCACAGTGACCCTCTACCCTACGGCGAAGCACCTACCTATAAACCAGCCTCGTCTACCTCCTCAGACCCTGACTCCTTACTCGATACCAGCGAGCACCAGCTGCAGATAGAAAAGTCCAACGTGCTCATACTTGGCCCAACTGGTGTAGGGAAGACGTTGATGTGCAAGACACTGGCCAAGACGCTGGGTCTGCCCATCTCCATGTCCGATTGCACTACCTTCACACAGGCAGGATACATTGGCGACGACGTCGAGTCGTGCGTTGCTCGTCTCTTCTCCGCCGCCAACTATGACATCGACGCAACCGAGCACGGCATCATTGTTCTGGACGAGATCGACAAGATTGCAGGGTCCAAGATGTCATACGGCAAGGATGTCGGCGGCGAAGGTGTTCAGCAGGCGCTGCTCAAGATCATCGAGGGCACAACCGTACAGGTGCAAGCCAAACCGGAGAAGAGCGCGAACAGGCCCGGCGGAATGCCCGGTGGCCCTCAGCCTCCTGGGCCAGGCGGAAACAAAGGCGAGGTCTTCAACATCCGAACTGACAACATACTCTTCATATGCACTGGCGCCTTTTCAAGCCTACACAAGATCATCCTGGACAGGAAGTCCAAGGGCAGTATGGGTTTCGGGGCGTCGATACGGTCATCGAACGCACATGCCGCCGCCGATGGTGTTATGCTGACAGGTGTGGAAGCTGAGTCCTTCAAGAAAGACTCCCCTTTCTTCGTACCGCCGAAGAACGAGGTCCCGAACCCGTTTGGTGTTAGACAGGTTCAACGGGAAGAGAAGGTTAATGTACTTGACCATGTG